GCATGCTGTTACACCACGCATACACACACACGCATACACATACTGTTACACCACACATACACGCTGTTACACCAACCATACACACACACACGCATGCTGTTACACCACGCATACACACACACACGCATGATGTTACACCACGCATACACACACACACGCATGCTGTTACACCACGCATACACACACACACACACGCAGGCTGTTACACCACGCATACACACACACACGCATACACATACTGTTACACCACACATACACGCTGTTACACCAACCATACACACACACGCATACACACACACTGTTACACCACACACACACGCATGCTGTTACACCACACACATACACACATGCTGTTACACCACGCATACACACACACATGCTGTTGCACCACGCATACACATGCTGTTACACCACGCATACACACACACACGCATGCTGTTACACCACGCATACACACACACTGTTACACCACGTATTATGCACTGCGATACCACACACCCACACCGCTATTCTATTCTATTTCGGTTTTATATAGGACCTACGTCGCTATATCACACACACAAAGACAAATATCCCCCGTATAGCCATAACAGACTGTTGGGGCAAGTGCTGTTAGCGAGCACCTATGAAGGCCGGCACGGCACACGCGGGGGTGGGTGACCAGCACCACGCTCGGACGCCTTTGTCTCCCCAGTGGTGATGTTAACACAGCGCACCAGGTACTCATTTGAGGCTGAGTCGACCTAGGGGAGGCCCAGGATCGGTTCAGATAATCGTCACTGGTGTTGGTCGTGAGCGGGAATCGAACCCGGGTCCCCAAGATCGTAGCGCATCGCGCTAACAGCTACACTACCGCTCCCCGTATATTACATAGACACACAACAACACACATACACACACCCTGCAATACCACACACACTCAATGTCACACATGCACACACCACATACTCACACACCACTATACCACACACACACACATCCCTATACCGCACACACACGCCGCTATAAAACACACACACATCGCTATATCACATAAACACTACAATGCCACACACACACAATGCCTTACACATACCGCTCTAGTGCGCGTCAACTCTATTGCCGTGCTGAGCTAACACACGGCTCCGCAGTCGGAATGATTGCGATAACCCATCTGTTACGGAGCCGAGCGCGCTCACAAGATGGCAACTCTTCTCTCGCCGGCTCCGTCTCTCGCTCCCTCCATACGCTCCTCCCCCCTTCCACAGAGAGCCCGGGTCGATGCTGGGACATCCACGGCGCATCGCGTCCGCGTGTCCCCCGCGCGCCCCCAAACCCACGCGCCTCGCACGCACTCGCGCGAGCATCCTCCTCTCTCCACTCCACCGCACACCACCACCGCCTCTCTCTCTCTCCACTCCACCCGCTGCACTCCACCACACACCACCACCACCACCTCTCTCTCTCCACTTCACCGCGCCGCACACCCCGACACACACGCCTGCGCATCTGTATTGATCAGCGAGCCCTGATCTGCAGGCTGTGGCGAGCGACGGGTAAAGCCCACTCATTTAAGGACGCATACAATGCAATGTCTTGCACCAATCTCCCTCCCTCCCTCCACGCCCGCAGCCAGAGTCGTCTATTTGTATTTGCCCGGCGCACACTGCTGCTGTTTTTTGTATCGAGCAAGCGGCTCGTGTACAGGGAGGTGATTTGTGAGATCATTGCATAAGGCGCCCTTCGCGAAGGGACCCGTGGCGGTTGGGCATGGGCGAGATGGAGGCAATGGTTGGTGGATCACGAACAGATCTGTAATACAACTCCCATTATCCCGCTGCGCTGGCTGAATGAGAGGTGGCCCATAGATGACAGCGCTGATTGTGTTGTTGTTGTTGTTTCTCTTTCGTGTGCTTGATGGTGGTGGGCAGCGGTAGTGTAGTGGTTTGCGCGCTGCGCTACAAACACGGCCACCCGAGTTCGATTCCCACTCACGGCCACCAACACCAGTGACGATTATCCGACCTAGTCTGAGGCCTTCCCTAGGTCGACTCAGCCTCAAAGGAGTACCCGATGTAATGTGTAAATATCGCCACTTGGGAGACAAAGGCGGTCAGGTTTAGTGCTGGCCACCCACCCCCTCGTGTGCGGTGCCGGCCTTCATAGGTGCTACAAAGATATTTAGCGAGGGATCTTTGTCTGTGGTAGTGGTGAGTTTTCTCTGGACACTCCGCTTTCCGCGCGCGTGCAAAAACACGACCGATGGTCAAACATCCCAAGGCCGACAGAGCACGCTCGGCCGCCTTTGTCTCCTTAGCGGCATTTTTACACATCGCACCAGGTACGGCACTCATCTAAGGATGAGTGGACGTTGGTGAGGCCCAGGAACGATTCATATAATCGTCAATGCGGTGTTGGTGGCCGTGAGCGGAAATCGAATTCGTGTGTCGCTGGGTTCGTAGCACAGCACGCTAACCGCCACACTACCGCTTCCCATTATCAGCACCCCCACCACCCAGCCCCCCCAGCACCCAGCCCCCCCACCACCCAGCACCCTCACCACCCAGCTCCCCCACCACCCAGCTCCCCCACCACCCAGCTCCCCCACCACCCAGCACCCCCAGCACCCCCTCAACCCAGCACCCCCACAACCAAGCCCCCACCACCCAGCCCCCCCAGCACCCAGCCCCCCCACCACCCAGCACCCTCACCACCCAGCACCCCCAGCACCCCCTCAACCCAGCCCCCCACCACCCAGCTCCCCCACCACTCATCCCCCCCCACCACCCAGTTCCCCCACCACCCAACACCCCCAGCACCCCCTCAACCCAGCCCCCCACCACCCAGCCCCCCCACCACCCAGCCCCCCCACCACCCAGCCCCCCACAACCCAGCCCCCCCCCACCCCCCCAGCACCCCCCCCAGCCCCCCCCCCCCCCCCCCCCCCCCACCCCCCCCCCCCCCCCCCCCCCCCCCCCCCACCCCCACCCCCCCCCCCCCCCCCCCCCCCCCCCCCCCCCCCCCCCCCCCCCCCCCCACCCCCCACCCCCCCCCCCCCCCCCCCCCCCCCCCCCCCCCCCCCCCCCCCCCCCCCCCCCACCCCCCCCCCCCCCCCCCCCCGCACCCCCCCCCCACCCCCCCCCCCACCCCCCCCCCCCCCCCCCCCCCCCCCCCCCCCCCCCCCCCCCCCCCCCCCCCCCCACCACCCGCCCCCCCCCACGCACAACCCAGCCCCCCCCACCCCCCAGCCCCCCCACACCCCCCAACCCAGCCCCCCACCCCAGCCCCCCCACCCAGCCCCCCACCCCCAGCCCCCCCACCACCCAGCCCCCCCCAACCCCAGCCCCCCCACCACCCAGCCCCCCCCAGCACCCCCCCAACCAGCCCCCCACCACCCAGCCCCCCCACCCACCCAGCCCCCCACCACCCCGCCCCCCACACCCAGCCCCCCCCACACCACCCAGCACCCCCAGCACCCCCTCAAACCCAGCCCCCCCACCACCCAGCCCCCCCACCACCCAGCCCCCCCACCACCCAGCCCCCCCACCACCCAGCACCCCCAGCACCCCCTCAACCCAGCCCCCCACCACCCAGCCCCCCCACCACCCAGCCCCCCACCACCCAGCTCCCCCACCACCCAGCACCCCCAGCACCCCCTCAACCCAGCACCCCCACAACCAAGCCCCCCACCACCCAGCCCCCACCAGCACCCCCTCAACCCAGCCCCCACCACCCAGCCCCCCCGCCACCCAGCCCCCCACCACCCAGCCCCCCCACCACCCAGCCCCCCACAACCCAGCCCCCCCACCACCCAGCCCCCCCAGCACCCCCTCAACCCAGCCCCCCACCACCCAGCCCCCCCACCACCCAGCCCCCCCACCACCCCCTCAACCCAGCCCCCACACTCAGCCCCCCCACCACAGCCCCCCCACCACCCAGCCCCCCCACCACCCAGCCCCCCCACCACCCAGCACCCCAACTGCCCTCCCCGTGCCACCCGCTCCGCCGCTGCGGCTGAGCGATCGCGCGTCTCGCTCGGGTCCAGTTCATTATTCGCGCGGGGCTCCAATTCCAGGGCAGGAGGAGGAACCACCGCACTCCAAACAAACACGGGCGGACACACGCCTCCCGTGCCACACCGCATCGCCTTCAAGCCAAGCAGCGCTGAGCCTGGCTCGTCATTGTGTGTGTGTGTGTGACCACCATCACTAGCAGCGAAGCGCTTGTCAGGTGTGGTAGGCGTGCGGTTTGCGCGGTGTGGTCAGGTGATGGCAGTGCCGGGTGTCCCCGTGATGCTGGGCTTCCTCAGGGTTACTTTGGTTTTCTCCAAGACACGAAGATTAACTCTCATCACGAACGGGATTGGCCAAACATCCAGACGTAGCAGGACCCTCTTCATTGGAGTTTCGAGACTCAGAGAGGCTCTTCCTCACTGCCATCACCACGATTCCCGTGTTCTCATTTAGCTGCCCCACGTCTGTGGTTCGGGGAGGGGGGCAGAGGAGAGGGAGTGACAGGAGAGAGAGGGGGGGGGGTCGATGTGGAGGGGATGAGAAGGGCGTGAGAGGGGAGGGGATGAGGCGGGAAGGAGTAAGAGCAGAAAGTGAGAGGGGGTGGGGTGAGAGGGGGGGTGAGGGATGGTTGGGGTGAGAGGGGGTGGGGTGAGCGATGGTTGGGGTGAGAGGGGGGGGTGAGTGCTTGGGGACCCGAGTTTTGGATCCAGGCCGAAACTTGGCGCGTCCAAGGGGAATTACTCGAAGAATATAATTGAAGGGGTGGGGGAGGGAGACTCGGGGGGGAGCACATCTCTGAACGTGATAATTACATAACACACACACCAAATACACTGACATCTCACACAACGCGTGTGTGCGCACGTGTGTTATCGTGAACACCATTGATGGGCGGGGGGGGGGGGCGCGCTGTGATTTGGTTTCACGAAGCCACGGGGTTTGCCACTGAGAATGAAGCGTTCAACACAGCGCGTTCCGGGCGCCACAAACACGCATGCGCCACGTGCGTGTGTGCGTGCGTGCGCGTGTACGTGCGTGCGTGCGCGTGTACGTGCGTGCGTGCGCTCTCATAGCGGAGGAGGGCGCACCCCAAACGCACGCTCTTCCCGACGAGCGCATTCACAGTCGCGTGCGGCGGCGGTGGCGGCAGCCGCACACCAACATCTTCATCATCATCATCATCAGGACCATCATCATCAGGACCATCATCATCAGGACCATCATCATCAGCACCGTCATTATCAACACCAGCAGTACCAGCAGCAGCATCATCACTGTGAGCACGCGACGCGCGGCGTAAGAGACGCAGGGCCGTGCATCGGCGATGGAGTCGCGCTAAGGGAGAACACCCTTCCAGCGGAGACCGGGGAGACACGCGCGGAGACTGGAGGAGGGAGGGGAGGAGGAGGAGGGGGAGCAGCTGGAGACGGCGGGACGGGGACAGCGAGGGAGGATGCAGCGCAGAAATGCCTACAGACTCGGAGCCCGATCTCTGTGACAAGGCGCTCACCATCGTTGCCGAGCTGTGCTTCAAGGGGGTCGTGTTGCCCGAGCGCTGCCAGGACTTCGCCCCGGTCCTCCCGGAGGACCTCTTCCGCTACCGCCAGGAGGGTGCAGGTAGGGGAGGTCCGGGCGGTGCGGGCGGCGTCGCGAGAGCTGTTCGCGGATCGCTCACCCGGGCTCCCTCGCCAATCGCTCAGCCGCACAGATTGTCTGATAGCGGAACGGAGGGACAAGGAAACATGCGGACGGGCAATCACACAGACGGACACATACACGGATACACACACGGACATACAGACGAACACACACACAGACGGACAAAACGGACGCACGCACAGACACACACGCATGCGGACACACACACAGACAGACACGCAGACGGACACACACACGGAAACGCAGACGGACACACACAGACAAACACACAAACGGACACGCGGACGGACATACACACAGACAGACACGCAGACGGATACACAGAGACATACACACACAGAAGGACGGACAAACACAAACAGACAGACAGACGGACACATACACACAGACAGACAGACGACACACACAGACAGACGGACACACACACAGACAGAAGGACACACACACAGACGGACACACACACAGACAGACGGACACGCACACAGACAGACAGACGGACACAGACAGATAGACAGGCGGACACACACACACAGACGGACACACACACAGACAGATGGACACACACACAGACAGACGGACACACACACAGAGACGGACACACACGCACAGACAGACGGACACACACAGACAGACGGACACACACACACAGACGGACACACACACATAGACAGACGGACACACACACAGACAGACGGACGGACACACACACACACAGACGGACACACACACACACAGATGGACACACACACACAGACGGACACACCCACAGACGGACACACATACACACAGAGACAGACGGACACACACACACAGACAGACACACACACACAGACGGACACGCGCACACAGACGGACACACACACAGACAGACGGACACACACACACAGACGGACACACACACACAGACAGACGAACACGCGCACCTGCTAAGGGCCGACAGTGGCTAGCGCTATCGGCGTGAGGCGCCGCGAAGAGGGATCGGCCCCGTCGCGGCTTCTGCTGACAGTGCGCACTGCCGTGGCACTCGCCCCGTGCCCCCCCCCCCACCCCAACCCCTCCTCGTCCCTCGGCCCCCCGCGCCGCTGCCGCTGTCACGATGCCTGCAGCAGCAGCAGCAGCAGCATGATGAGTGTCGCTTCTTCCCCATCGTCATTAACGAGCGGCGGTTCTGCGCCCACTCGCGAATCTCCTCCACGCGAACTGCACTCGGCAGCGGCGGCGGTTACTGACAGAGTCGTTGGGTTACCGCGCCACCTGGACCCAGATGATTTGTAAGATAGACATCATCACGGGGAGATGCTTTTCCCCTGCTTCATCACCCCCTCACCCCCTCTTTCCACCTCGTCATCTCCCACCCCCCTTCCTCCTCATCCCTCCTCCCCGCCCGCTCCGCAACCCTGAAACACTTCATCATCGACACGCGGAGAAACCCACACCGCTGTGGCGACGAGCGCTGGAGCACGAGGAGCACGAGGAGCACGACCATGACGACGAGGAGGTCTCGTCTCGCGTGCGGGCTCCGTGCGCACGCCGGTGGCGCAGTGGCGGTGCCTGCCGGGGCAGTGGCGGTGCCTGCCGGGGCAGTGGCGGTGCCTGCCGGCGCAGTGGCGGTGCCTGCCGGGGCAGTGGCGGTGCCTGCCGGGGCAGTGGCGGTGCCTGCCTGGGCAGTGGCGGTGCCTACCGGGGCAGTGGCGGTGCCTGCCGGCGCAGTGGCGGTGCCTGCCGGGGCAGTGGCGGTGCCTGCCGGGGCAGTGGCGGTGCCTGCCGGGGCAGTGGCGGTGCCTGCCGGCGCAGTGGCGGTGACTGCCGGGGCAGTGGCGGTGCCTGCCGGGGCAGTGGCGGTGCCTGCCGGGGCAGTGGCGGTGCCTGCCGGCGCAGTGGCGGTGCCTGCCGGGGCAGTGGCGGTGCCTGCCGGCGCAGTGGCGGTGCCTGCCGGGGCAGTGGCGGTGCCTGCCGGGGCAGTGGCGGTGCCTGCCGGGGCAGTGGCGGTGCCTGCCGGCGCAGTGGCGGTGCCTGCCGGGGCAGTGGCGGTGCCTGCCGGCGCAGTGGCGGCGCCTGCCGGGGCAGTGGCGGCGCCTGCCGGGGCAGTGGCGGCGCCTGCCGGGGCAGTGGCGGCGCCTACCGGGGCAGTGGCGGCGCCTGCCGGGGCAGTGGCGGCGCCTGCCGGGGCAGTGGCGGCGCCTGCCGGCGCAGTGGCGGCGCCTGCCGGGGCAGTGGCGGTGCCTGCCGGGGCAGTGGCGGTGCCTGCCGGGGCAGTGGCGGTGCCTGCCGGCGCAGTGGCGGTGCCTGCCGGGGCAGTATGCGGTGCCTGCCGGCGCAGTGGCGGTGCCTGCCGGGGCAGTGGCGGTGCCTGCCGGGGCAGTGGCGGTGCCTGCCGGCGCAGTGGCGGTGCCTGCCGGGGCAGTGGCGGCGCCTGCCGGCGCAGTGGCGGCGCCTGCCGGGGCAGTGGCGGCGCCTGCCGGGGCAGTGGCGGCACCTGCCGGGGCAGTGGCGGCGCCTGCCGGGGCAGTGGCGGTGCCTGCCGGGGCTCTTCCGCTGTAATTGGAGCGGCTCTGTAATTGCCGCCGCGTGTTTTCCTTCGCAAGACTCTCTCGAGCGATGGTGCTTGCGTCCTCTTCACAGACACAAGGACACACATCCACCGTGTCGCCTTCACTGGCTGTTGGGGCCGGTGCCGTTAGCGGCCAGCTATGGTGGGGGAGTGGGTGGCCAACACCATGCCCGGCCGGCCTTTGTCTCCTTCGTAGCGACGTTTACAGACCGAACCAGTTACTAATTTAAGACACACACACTGACATACACACACACACACTGACATAGACATACACACACAAATCAATATCTTATTATCAGTGCCCCGTGGATGCGTCTAATGACTCTTAACACGGCCGTGAGCGCGCACGTGCCCGCTCGCCACGGCCTGACGTCACCCCGAGCTTATGCACGCCTGTCCACTCACCCCCACCCGAACTGCCCACTCACCCCCACCCGAACTCCCCACTCACCCCCACCCGAACTCCCCACTCACCTCACCCCCACCCGAACTCCCCAATCACCCCCACCCGAACGCCCCACTCACCCCACCCCCACTCACCCCACCTCCCACCCGAACTCCCCACACCCTCTTTGTCAAATTCACCCCTGAACCCGCATCCCCCAAAGTCCTCCACGTCGCCCCCACTCCCCCCACCCACTGCTGTGACATCGCCCAAAGGACCGCGAACTATTTTTTTTTATATTGGACTCGTGGGGCCATCCGGACGCTGAATCCAATCAATGTAAGCAATGTGCCATCACCGTGATCGTCATCCTCTTCTAATCACCATCACGAATCATCATTTGTACTCTGATAATAATCATGATCGTCATTGTCATCATCATTCCTACTCTATCGTCGTCATCATCATCATTATCAGCCTCCACATTCGCATGATGATAATCATCACGAATTAAATCATCAGCTGACTGAGTGTCATCATCATAACTCGCATCATCCTTGCTATCATCGCCATCATCATCATAATCTCGACTATCATAATCCAGAATCTCATCGCGATCTGGAACACCACGCTCGCATCGTCGAGGACCTCACTCCACGTCCGTATCCACGAACGCGTGCAGCTCGGTTCAGAACAACGAGGGGACTACGTGGAGCGCAGAGAGAGAGGGGGGGGGGGAGACCACGCCAGGGTCGCCTCATTCGTAGATGGAGGGTTCGTCATTAGCAGAGCGGTTCAGTATTCATCCAACAGCCGCGCCACTCATTCTCAAGACTCCTTTCGGATTGGGATAGAACCTTTGCAAGTCTCTCTCCATGGATCACCACGAAGGATGTAGCTCCCGAAGGAGCTCCCCGGCACTCGGAGCGAGGCGTCGGACATCGTGCCCATCAACGCGCGCCACGACACGAAGGCGCACGAGGATCTGAACGGCGGCAGTAGCAGCACCACCGCGAACGCCCACGCAGCAGATTCGATCCTTTATTCAAAGCAAGCGAGGGGCGGCTGAGACGAAACATCGAATTTCACCTGGGTAAGCGTCGGCAGTCAGGTTTATACATCCCCAGTAGGTTCATCGGCAACGCACAGGGTAGAAATGGCTGGCAACAAAACGTCAGTCGCTTTTTTTGTCGCGGGCTCGGGTTTTGTTTCATATGTTACCATACTTTACTACGTTGGTCAGAGCGGATTGGTGAGGGGATGGGGGAAGGGGCGGAGGGGGGGCAGGTTCTGATGTTAGCCGTGGCTAACACCAGCGGGACCAGGTTAATCACACAACGCGCTAACCAATGCATCACCCATTAAATAATACAGTACGTTACTATAAATAATGTAAAGCATCACGCGAGTGAGAGAAAAAGAAGAAGTTTATACACAGAAAGTTTTAAACCGAGCGTAGATTCCACACATGGTGAATATTGCACGAGGCACGTTTCAGCATCACTCGTGCTCGGATTGACCAATCACAAAGGGCCCAAGTGGCCTCCAACCCCGGCCTGGGAGGGAGGGGAGTCGGTCCCCACGCGATGGACGTTCGGCCAATTCCCCCCGTGCGTATTTGTGCGTGTGGGATGGTACCGGAGCACCCCGGAGACAACCCGGCAGCCTGCACACGAGGGGACAACTCAGCATGCGCCTACGATGCATCGGATGAGTCTTGTACCTACCTACTTGCTGCACTGTAATGTCCAGGCCGCCGCCGAGGCTTATCGGGATCACATGACAACAACTAATTCGTACGTGGAATGCTGATATTCTTCCATTGCCCATTATCATCATCATGCCAATTATTAAGTCAGCACAGCCTCGCTGAGTCTCAAGACTCGGAAGGGTCCTGCCACGTTGGGGATATTCGTCCGACCCCAGAAGGAGAAGGAGTGAGAGTTTGGCGTCACGTGGGAGGAGGAGACCCAGAGAGCCCAGAGTCAACCCGGCACCGCGCCGCTGTAGACGAGGGGAGACACCCGGGACTGGCACCTCCTGGCCACCACCTCGCAGCAGCCTCACGCCCACAACACCTGGCAAGCCCTGGTGGTGGTGGTGCTGGTGGTGATGGTGATGGTGGTGGTCACCCATTCAAGCACGAGCCAGGCTGAAACCTGCTTAGATGTCGAGATTTCGCCAGACGGAGCGAGTGTTCGTGCTCAGGGGTCTGCTCGGTACTCGGCGAGGGAATCGCGAGGCCAGATTCTGGTCACTGATGGTGACGCCTCCACGTTACTGGCGTCGTCTCATTACTTATTCATCGATGCGCGAATAATTCAAAGAATTATACAGCCGGAATAACCCCGCAGCTTAACACGAAACGCATTAGCAGATGTATAATGCATGCGGGCCCGGTATCCGCCACACACACGCTTACCCACACAAACACATACACAAAGACAAGGGTTCCCAGTATAGTCTTAACAGACTTTTGGGGAAAGTGCTGTTATCGAGCATTTGTGAAGGCCGGCACGGCACGCGATAGGGTTGGCGGTCAGCACTACGCCCGACCGTCTTTGTCTCTCTAGTGACGATGCTCATACATCGCAACAGGTACTCATTTTAGGCTGAGTCCACCTAGGGGATGCCCAGAGCAGGTTCAGATAATCGTCACTGGTGTTGGCCGTGGGCAGGAATCGAACTTTGGAATGCCGCGTTCGTGCTGCAGCGCGCTAACCGCTACGACACCGCTCCCCACAACAGATACGCACAACCGCATCCACGAGCGAAAAACAGATATTCGGATCTGGATCTCACGTGTGGCCATCGAGGGTTTTGGGGGAAATGTGTTTTAGCCACCACCCTTTCAGAGCGGCACGGCACCACTACTCGGGAGATGATGTGGCTTGCAGAACCAGTCTCGCCCGCCTTTGTATCTCCCGTGCAGATATTCGCAAGGTGCTTTCTTCGTGGGGCTGTCGACATGGGGCCCGGGAACGACTTCTGATAGCAGATGGATGTCCTCGCAGATGTAATCAATATTAGCCAGTGACTCGCTGCCTGCAGCCCCGAGTTGTTGCGTTCGGTCTGATACCGTGGTGACGTCTTCATCGACTGACAAAGGGAGCGCGTCTCCTGCCGTGCGGCGTGCACCTGGATCGAGATCCTTGTCGTGTCTCTTGCCGCGTGCGTGGACAGCCCCTCTCCTTGTTAGGCCACCACCGCCGGATGAGGCCCCCCCCCGTAACGTCGTGAATGTCCCGGCGGGTCACGTGATCGTGACTTGGCGCTGGTCAGTACGAGATGGTGAAGGCTCGCCGAGAGAGAGAGAAGCACATGGCCGTCCGTGGAAGCATAGCAGTTGAGTACAACTTAGGGATATTTGCTGCACTGCCTTCCGATGCCCACAACGTCGGCCCTGCAGCAGCGGCAGCAGCCGATAAAAACAAACGGCCTGCTGTGCGTGGTGTTCACTCCGTCGACGCACCATGCAGGCTGAACCCCGCTGAGCTGTCATATTGTTGCTTAGACAACCTACTTTTGTTTGAGGGTTTAAGTCCTTCCCGTGTACAAACAGGCTCCCGAGAACCGAAGTGCAGAGTGATTTGGCCTGGCGAGAAAGGGACGGGAGGCTACGTCCGCAGACCGCGTGGGATGGGAGACGCATCACTCGTTACTGTACTTCCAATAACCTCTCAAACACTCTGTAATGATTGGCTGCTAACACCGTAATATATAAAGAGGACCGCAGAGCTTGGCCAATTGTTGGCGCCGGATCACCGTGTGGCTGCCTCTGAGTCGTCCTCGCTCTATGAGAGTGGCACGGACGCTGTGCGGGGCTTCACGAGTGGAAGTTATGTATTGTTGTTATTATTATTATAGCTGTTCGTCGAAGGGGAGTGCAGCCAGAGCCACGTGGCGGCACAGCTGTATGGCCTCTCTCCAAATCAGTCGGAGCGAGGACATTCTCGCCAGATCTTGTGAAGTTAGGCAGGCTGGAGCCAGCAGGATACTGCTTCCAGGGGCCACGGCCGTGCAAGAAGAGAGGTGCTGCAGGCTGCAGCGCGACTACGCTGGCAGCAGTTCATCAACGTGCATCGCTGTGCTGTTCTTCTCTGCGCCGACGATTACACTCCCTGACTTCAATCTTCTTCCCCCCGCACGCGCCAGCGTGGTGAAGTATGGTCAAACAGTGTGCCACACGAGGCCGTGCGTGTACACGCAGATGTACAGACGTGGCTTCCGTGAAACGTGTTTACTTTGGTTGGGCTAGGGACGAGGATCACCTCTCGTCGGTGATTCTTTCGTGAGAATGTGACACCAAGGGAAGGGGCACCACCTAGCGACGTGGGACTCGGGTTGTCCATAGCGACCCCCCTTTGGCGTAAAACTCCCCGAGCGGGATGATGAGACTGAGAGCAGAACCGTGGGGGGGGGGGGGGGGCGTCAACTGGCGTAGCTGATGCAGAATCTGTCAGAAGGAAATAAGCGATGGCGAGCTGTGGTGGTGGAAATCAACGACATCGTCCGTGATGACCTTTTAAACTCTGAAAGCCCTCCCCAGCCACCCGAGGAGGGGCCTCTTAATGGGGGGGGGGGGGGGTAGGGGGCGAATTCGGTGCTCGCGGACTCCCCATGAAACCGCAGCTGCGTCAAGGATCCCAGTCTACAGGCGTAGGGGAACGGGTGGATTTGGTCGGGGGGAGGCTTTGCGGGGGGAGAGATGGTGCGGTGGAGGGGGTTGGGGCCATCAATCATCGCTGATTGCGGCTCAGCGCGAGCCGGCGCCTCGTGCTCGCCGCTGTGCGAGCGACAACAAAGCGCACGCGGGGTAACGTTTCGGTACTCCCACCTCTTCTAGCAAGCCCACTGGGCAGCGCGGAAGAGTAGGCCAAATACCCTCGAGAGGAGCTCCCCAGAGCTATACACTGATAGTGGAGGCCCTTTGACCGACAGTGGCACGTTCGAGAAATTGCACGGCTGCGCCTTTATCTTTCTCTGGACAATTTGCAGCAAAATCCGTTGTCACGCAGAGCTCAATAAATGCAGTCCGGGTCGGCGAGTCAGAACACATTCACGTAGCCGGCACACCACATCTAGTATGCGTCTCGTCATGGCTACCAGTTCACGTTTGCTACACCGATCGGCCGGCGACGAGGAGAATGAAGACGTGGCTGTCTCCCTCTGCCCCGTGCTCACAGTTAAACGCGCGCGAGATGTAATGCGGATTTGCGAGTCCTTTGGGTCACAAATCCGACTCCCCCCTCTCTCCCTTTCTCTCCCTCTCCTCTCTCTTCGCTTCGTCCTGTCCCTTCCCATAGCACACCCCCCCCCCCCCCATCTTCAATTTAATCGCAGGACCGTGGTCTTCAAGCCTTACACAACCCGATCTCTCTGATCCCCGCAGCGCCACCCCCACGCCCAGCACCTCCCCCCCCACAGTATTCCCCCGATTGTACAGCGCCCCTCCCTCGCCGCCTTGCCCCATGCACCCCCCGCCCCCCTCTGCGTCTCCCAGAGCCAATCTCTGCCCACACGGCTCGTGCACAGGCGACAATGCCATCATCAGTTCCAGCGTTGTCAGTCTCTTCGAGTTGTCTGTAACTCTCTCTCTCTCCATGGCTCTCTCCGTGCATCTGTGCCTGTCCCTGTGTGTCTCTGTTGCTCTCTCAGCCGTGTCTATCTCTCTATAACCATCTCCGTCTCTCTGTATCCGTCTATCTTGCTTCGTGTGTGTCTCAATGGTTGACTCTCTCGGTAGCTGGCTGTGTCCTTCCGAGTCTCTGCATAGCCTCGTTTTATGTCTCCCCCGTATCTTCCTGCGTGTTTCTATCCGTGCTTGTCTATCTGCCGCTCTTTCTCTATTGCCCCCGTCTGTCTGTCTCTCCATATATCTCCATGCCTGTCTTGGTGTCTGCTTTTGTCTCTCCGTGTCCTCTTCCCCCATGCACTCAGGGACCCACGTTGCGTTGAGACAACTCTCGCCAGGAGAGGACCAGGCCCTCTGTATGATGTACGCTTGCAGGGCGCTATTTAAATTATAATTTTGATGCTCAGGGGTTGACGTCTCAATATTTCACGTAACGCTGCCAGGAACTGGCTTGGAGTCGGGATTAATTGGCATAAGGAAATACTACGAGAGTATAAGTCGTAACTATCATGAGGACAAACCAGGGCGATATGGATGTGGCATGCCAACAATTCCGGGGACATTGTTCTGGAATGTTCTGGCTGAAGTTAAGCACTGATGGTGGTGATGATGCTAATAATGCCCCATGATTGTGATGATGTTAAACATGGTATCATGATGGTGGTGATTTTAATACTGTAGCATGATGGTCATTATGATATCTACAGAGGTGCTCACTCCATTTCTCGGTGCATGGAATGAATCGCCCTCTGACCAAATCTGCCAATTGGTTCAGCGCGAAAGCGGCCCGCTCGCAATCGCAAGGCTGTGAATTCAAATCACCCCCCCCCCGCCCCCGTCAAATGAATTATGTGGATTTTCCACATCAATCATGTGAAATCACTGCATTTTTTTTACCCAAATCACCCAAAATGTGCCGCCCTTCCTCCCGCCTCCTTACCCTTCCATGCACCAAGACGTGTCGGTGAGCCTTCTGGCCGTGGTGGTGACGCTATGTGGCGTGGCGCTGCTGGGGGTCTCCCTGTTCGTCTCGTGGAAGCTCTGCTGGGTGCCATGCCGGGACCGCGAGCGGGAGGCGAGGGCCGCGGCGGCCGGGGCTGCCCGCTCGGCGCCCTACTTGCCGCAACAGCTGCTGGGCGCCGCGCCCGCTCTCGACGTCAACGGCCTCGAGTACGAGAAAGCTCCTCGTGCCGACGACTCCATCGTGGGAGGGCCTCAGCAGCAGCAGCAGCAGCCGCCGCAGCAGCAGCAGCCGCAGCCGGTTCTGCAGCAGCAACCGGCACAGCAGCCGGTGCAGCAGCAGCAGCAGCATTCGACGGAGCCAGAGCTACAAGCACCCGCCGAGGCCATGGTCCGGATGAGCCACACGTCTCCAGATATCCATGCGAGCGGGAGAGACAGCAACCCCGTGGGACAGCAGCAGCAGCAGCTGCTGCCCTTGCAGCCGTTGCAACAGCAGCCGCAGCCGCTGCCGCTGCCGCCTCCGCAGCAGCAGCAGCCCACGCCGCAGTGCCCACAGCCGCAGCAGCGCGCGGTGCAGCGGCAAGGGACGGACCAGTCAAACTCGTCACGGTGAGCAACAGGCACGGCACGCAAGGGCAGCGGGGGCAGTCCGAGGGAGATTTAGGGGGGGGGGGCAGTGCCCACGGGCAGAGTTAGGCGCCATGCGAATGTGGAATTTCCACCGCCGGTTCAGTGCCGCTATTCGAGGTGAGTGCGAGTGGAGAAAGTAAGGTTAAAGGTGCGGCCCTGCAATTACTGGCTCACGCCACTGCTGGCGAAAGGCCTTCCAGTCGATGGCAGTTTGGCCTACTCTTCCACGATGGTTGTACGTCTTGGAAAAGCTGAACACCCACGCTTCACCTCACGACCACACGCAACGTGCCGAGTCGTCTCGCTGAGATGAACCCATTCATGACTGCCAGATGGACAGAGGCCGTGGGGGTAGGGGCGGTGGGGAGATGGATTAAAGAAACTTGCCCCATTGTGATTTGAAGCTTTCGTGACTGCAGGAATCAATACTCTTTGGTTCTTTCGATAAAGTCACGTAGGTAGAAATAAAATAAATCATTTAAAAATAATTTATTTTATTTCTACCTACGTGACTTTACCGAAAGAACAAAAGAGTTTGCCCCATTGTTTCAACTGCCGCGCCGCCAGATCGAATCTTGACGGGGACCTCTGCATCGCAATTCTGGATCGCGCCACGAGTCGCACCGCGAGAGGCGGGGAGGCAGCGGGTTCATTCTTCTCTAAACACTGCGCGGCGATGCTCACGTCGGGGCAATTATAAGATGCTCGCTGAACAACGCTCCCATCACGGGTGACAAATTCGCGACACGTGCTCGGCGTGTTTACGCGTGAGTGGTGGCGTTTACGCCTCCGCAGAAGTCTCCGTGAACGTTTACCGGGAGAAGTGCCGATTACGGGAACAACACTTCTCCTACTGTCTTCTTCTTCTTCAAGCTGATTACGCGAGGTAGATCGGATAATGAAGTGAGTGGCTTTTGCGAGCTCTCTAAAGCCCACGCGAGCGTTGGAGGCGAGGGCGCCATGGTTGCCCCCTCGCCTTCTAAGTAAAATTCCACGGTGCGTCCATGCGTGCGAGAGTGCGAGCGCGTGAGTGTGCGTGGGGAGCCTCAAACGAGTGCCTGGTGCCGTGTGTAAAACATCGGCACTGGTGGAGACGAAGACGGCCGGTCGTAGTCCTGGCCACCATCCCCTCGTGTGTGTCGTGACGGCCTTCAAAGGCGCTGCTCGCTAACAGGCACTTGCCCCAACAGTCTGTCGTTCTAAACCCGGTAGGCACTGCTGTGTTTGCGTGGTTGTGTGTGGCGTGTGTCCCAACATAACACGTGGGGTCTGTCCCGTGACCTCCTGCCAGCGAGCCGTCGACACTGCACGTGGCCCACGTGTTAAACCAACTGCGCGTTGCCTCTGAGTAAGCGCGCGCTGTGGGGACGTCGCTGTCAATTAGTGGCGAATGGCGGCTGCTATTATTATTCACTAATTAATCCGACTACACTTGTTTGCCCAGGACAGCCTCGTTGGGTCTCTAAACCCCTTTTCAGGATGGTCCTGCCAATTTTTACGTAGTAAGTAGACTTGTTCAGATTTGGCCCGTGTTGCCTTAACCCTCTGCCCCCTCCCGAACAAAACCCCACCGTGCGCTCTCGACTCCCCGCGCTCCCCGCAGTCCCAGCTCCATCCGCACGCTGCTCAACCGATCCTCTCGGAGCGGCTCGGAGAAAACTGCTGCGGGTGGGGCCAGTGACGGCGCGGCCGTCCCGCAGACCAACACGCTGGGCCGCATCAAGCCCGAGCTCTACAAGGCGCGCCCATCCGTGCCGTCCGTGGGCTCCGTGGCGGGGGGGATCGGCGGGGGAGTCGTCGGGATCGGCGGAGGAGTCGGCGGTCTCGCTGGCGTCGGCGCCGGCGGCGTCTGCGTGGAGGAGGCCGGCACGCAGCTCGTCCCGGCGGCGGGCGTCGGGGACGCGGGGATCAGTCGGGATGGTCGGCGGCGTCGGCGTCGGCGACGGCGCGGACCCGTGCGAGTCGGGCGACATGAAGGCGCCTCCGTGCGGCCGCATCAACTTCCAGGTGCGCTACGACTACGAGGGCGAGCAGCTGGTGGTGAAGATCAACAAGGCGGTGGACCTGCCCGCCAAGGACTTCTCGGGCACGTCGGACCCCTACGTGAAGATCTACCTGCTGCCCGAGCGCAAGCGCAAGTACCAGACCAAGGTGCACCGCAAGACGCTCAACCCCGTGTTCGACGAGACCTTCCAGTTCGGCGTGCCCTACAGCGAGCTGGCGAGCCGCCGACTGCACTTCAGCGTCTACGACTTCGACCGCTTCTCGCGGCACGACATCATCGGCACTGTGCTCGTGGACAACCTCCTGGAGGCCACGGACCACTCGCGCGAGACGTCCATCTGGCGCGACATCGAGTTCTCCAGCACGGTACGCGCGATGGCATCCCGGGGGGGGGTTCCATAGCGCAACTTGCCTGCAGATTTTCCATCAACTTCCGATGGGAGTCAGCGCCGACCAAGGGGGACGTTCGCTGAACGTGTTTCGTGTAGTGCGCCACGGGGCTTTCACTCCAGCCGGGTCTCTCTGGGTTGACATCCAGTATACCACGTGTCGCTGTGGCTGTGGATTCTACCAGTCACGTACCACCTACTCCAGGCTACCATAGACCCACACAATATTCAGCGAGAAATCAACCCCGCCCCCGTGATAATTCCGGGTACTCCAGCAAACACACCGAATACTGTGTACAAGCAGTAAGGGTGAGCACTCAGTACCAGCAGTGGAACTGAGTATTCCGCACAGTGACACTAAGGGCTTTAGTACAAATACAGGGACACCTAACTCCCACAGTCTCCTCACTCATAAATTAAGAGGTGCGGAATTTTGATCACTGGCACACTCGCAAATTGCTTCATTGGGAGAAGCACGGCAACAATCGCCCCACCCCTAGCCTCATCCTCCTGCCTCGACAACTTTGCACGGCCCTCCTGGAAAGGAGTGTCGAGACCCAGCGAGGCTTTTTTATTCCGAGTAAACACGCGGGGTGACGACGAGCACTCCGGCTGTAGAGCACCACCGAGCACTCCGGCATTGTAGGGGCACGCTCGCCCGCTTGTGCGTCACCGCGAGCTCCGCGATCTGCCTCCGCTGGTCACGTGTCTCCGTCTCCCTCTCTCGCACGGGGACAACAGGGGCAGCCCTTCTCCCCTCGTCTCAGTCCCAGCTCCGTGCGAACGTCCTCCTTTGAGCACAGTTGGCTAGGTACGTTGCGAAAAAAACTCAACATGGATACATAAATTCTGATCTGCCAGCCATCGAAAAATGTAGCACCTCTTAATTTACGATCCGTTCAGAAAAAATAGGAGAGATTGTCTTATTATTAATCATGATAACTGACAGCTCTGTCAGCCTACTGTTGGGTGAAGGCCTTTCATCGGGGTTCAAAGGTCACGTTCATTTGATTCAACCGATGAAAGAGAACTCAAGAGACCAGGTTGAGTCTCATTTACAAGAGTGACCTGGGTCGTTTGTGGCCATACTTCGCCACACTGCTCAGTCCTCGTTGGTAAAGGTGAGAGGGGGGGGGGGGTGGGGGCGTGCCCGGGACCAGTGCAGATAATTTCTCGCCACTGATGGTAGCCGTGACCTAGAATCAAACTCAGACCGCCAGGTTCACAGCGCAGCGCGCTGCTAACAACGGTGGCACTCCGCCACCCCTTCTCCTATTATTAACATTTGCTATGATATTAAACGGCACCGAGGGGATGGCTCGGCATCAAAGCCAGTTTCTCTAAAACCTCTGGAGGATTGTGACACACACACACACAATGTCTTGCCTTCAAGCGTAGGCAAGCGTCAAAGGAGATTTAGGAGAGACCGAACGATGCTGCGCGTCCCGCAGGGTGAGAGGCGAGCCCGCAGTGGCACTCTGGCGTGTGGTTTGCAGAGCGAGGAGCTTTGGAGATTACCGTGGTCTTTTTTATATTTTAAGCAAAAAAGGGCCACTGACGGGGCTGTCGTTTTCCAAAGGAGACCCGAACTTGACAAATCGCCGGCGCTCGCGAGTCTCAACGGGGCGGTGGTGCCAGGGGACGTGCAGGGGACGGCATCAGAATCTGAGAGGCGCCGCGGCTGCTGCCGAGAATCAGTGAATGCGCTTCGACGAAATTGTTCACACGATCCTTTTAAGAATGGCTTTAAATCAGGATGCTCCTATTGCGTGTTTAGTATGCCTTTTATTATACTTCTTAGTTTATTATAACGTTACGTAATTGTTTTAAATGTATACTTCTTATTGGTCTTTACATTGCGTCAGTCGCTTTTATTGTGTCCTGTAAGGCATTTTGCATTGCATTGTTTGCACGCATTGTGCCGTGTAAGTAAAGCTCGATTATTTGAATGTCGGCACGCACGAAGCCTCGCGCCCTGAAGTTCGACGCCGGGATAGGGCGCGGCGGTGGCAGAGGGAATGTGAACACGCACACGCGAACACTGGGCGAAACAACCACCACCACTAACAACAACAAACTACAACGGCCATTCGCCGCCAAGTGGCGGTGATCTCATCGCGACCGCTTGTGCCAGGCTAGGTGCACTTCGAGGTCACGTCAAGTGTGCAAGGTTCGCTACCGGCATTGATGTCACGAGACAGGCCCAGGTGTTATGTTTAAACTGACTGAGATGACTGGCAGATGCACCCGCCTGGGCTGCCCACTGCGCAAACTCGCTGCGCTTTCAGTCACCCGGCGCTCTGCTCGTTGTTGTGAGCTTCGCTACTCCACCCTCCTCGCATAACAACTAACGCGACAGCATATGCACTTCCACGAGCGAACATAGTTTAGCGCCGATGTACACGAACTCTAGCACAAACACTGACACCGACCCACGCACCAACGCCAGAATATTCATATCCATTCAGACGCGGGGAGGATGGTGGGGAGGATGGCGGGGAGGACGGTGTGGGGGGGGGGGAGATTGTAAATGTTAATGAGTTAAGTTCGACCCCCCCGCCTCCACCTCCCCCACATAACTGAGCCATACGAGCGAGCATTAAACAAACACATACATATCCAGCACGAGAGAATAATGACCCGCCCTAGATGGTATTTGTAGCGCGGGAGAAGAGACAATCACAGGCTTAGTGCGCATCGTCGTCTGATTTGACCTTCATATTATCATAGCAGGAGTATTAATAATAACGAAATGATAATGAATCAGATTACCGAGATTAATGACAGCGGGAGGCGTTTGTCGCCAGAAAGAGCCTCAGTGCTGGGACAAAAGCGCGCTTTGATTTGAGGCGGCGCCGTCCAGCTCACCGTGCCAGCCTTTCTCACAAAGAGGAGGAGGAGGGGTGTTGGAAGAGAGAGCGGCAGGGCTACAGAGTGAGAGGGCCGCTGTGGGAGCGAGGACCACGCCACTGAACGTGACTGTCGCCTGTGTGAGCCTCGGCCTCGTCTGTGAGCGAGCCCGAGACGAAGAGGCAGGCCGCCGGGTGGCTCGCAGGTCAGAGGCGTTGAGTCGGCTCCGCTGGGGGCCTGGGCTTGAATGCGCCACTGGTTAAACCGGGTTTACACGTACACAGACAGGAGAATCGTGTTACATTTAGTTCTGCAGTCAAATGGAGCAATATCACAAATCTGAGGATACAAAGTATTGCTTTTACTGTCACGCGACAAACATTATTCACAGGTGGCAGAACGGATGGGAAAGCGCTGCCCACCTGCTACTGTGTGGACCTGAGATCACTGAAAGGAATCTCAGAAGTAGCTCTGGGATATGCACTTCCGCGCGCCGTTCTCCAACACGACGGGTCGCGCTGCTTTGCGAGACTTTTTGAATGGAATCTTCGTCTCGTGTCGACGCGATGTCGAATGCACACTCGTGTAGAGCCCCGGGGGTGGATGCGGGGGGAGGTGGGAGGACAAACGTTTAATGAAAGGCGGCTCGGGCAAGTTTCCCCAGCGGTGCCTCAATCGCGGACTCATCGGGCTCACCGACACGCGCGCACGCGTTCCCTCCGACGCCACCGCCGGGCTGAGTGGGACGCGGCAGTGAATCACCGCGAGTGCTCGAGGTAACGCGGCGGGCGGAAGACGAATATCGCTCTCCTACAGCGAAGCCTGGGCGGTCGCTTTATTGCTTCACACTTAAATGTCAACTCGAAATAAACGCGATCCAGAAATGGCTCTAACTGGGTGCCCCGCCACTCCTGAGTACTTTAACTCGCGGAGAGCGCGGCGGTGAGCCAGAGCGCGGGCGAGGAGTGCTTCTCTTGGCACACTCACTCGCTCGCGAGCATAAGTGGCATAAAGTGTGCGGAGCTGTTGAGTGCGTAGGGGGTGGAACTTTAACCGAGCCCCCACCCTCCCCATCCGCTGGCCGGAGGAGGCCCCGGTGCCAGGACACGAAGACGAGCTTCATTTGGACTAGCGGACGCATTTAAATGTATTAAATGCATCGCACCGTGGCCCCATCCACGCCAACCCTGCCACACTGCCGAGTGGCATAGACGTGTAAAGTGACACTTAGGAGGTATGGTTGCTGGATCGCAATGAGATTATCATTTGCGTTAGGCCGTCGACCGTCACCGCCGTGCAGAGTTCGCGTGGCGTGTGGACGGACGCGTCGTTTGTGCAATCATCCGAGAGACGCTGTGACCTCACGGGCGTGGTCACAAATGCGATCTCCATCAGCCGCATCGGCCGATACCTTCAGTCCCCAGCGAGTCGGATATGCGGCGTCGTGCTATCATCCTGCGTGAAACGTCGTAGAACGAGAGGGCTCAGCCGTAGAGTGAGCGGCTCGCGCAACGGGAAGGTTTGCGAGTTCAAATCCTGGCTAAGGGTTGACCCAGCCCATCATCCATCCATTGTCGATAACAATTAGTATCGCTTTGTAGAGAAGTCGCCGTTGGTTCGGGGCTGTTACCCGGAGATTATGTACCACCCCTAAGTGCATCACACAAATACAATCAGTTTAACACGGAGGCTTTCGCGACCAGTATTATTCATAATAAAGGTTTTTCGGTGAGATCGCGTTATTTATAAATGTGTCGCAACCCTCCACCACCCGACACGGCCAATCAGTAACAAATGTTTCACGTTGACAAAAGACAAATAGTTCACTGCTTCAGCCCACGGGCGTGTTGAAGAGTGAATCCACAACATTTACAATTTGAGTACGACGTTTCGCTGGAAATTACATCCAGAATCTTCGGGGGATTTGCAAATCGATTTTAACGGGGGATTTGCAAATCGATTTGCAAATCGATTTTAACGGGGGATTTGCAAATCGATTTGCCAATCCCCCGAAGATGCTGGAGGTAGTTACCAGCGGGGACTCTGTACCCCCCCCCCCCCCGCTCCCCGCAGCCCCCAGCCGCTGGTGGCCGCGGCGAGCCCCGCCATTGATTTGTTGGCCGTTGA